TATAAACATAAATGACTTCGAAAATTAGTAAAATAATATAATAAATAGTAAACATTTTATATGGGAATATGTGTTTACGCAAGCTTTGCCTTTCGGTACAAGCTTTTGGGAAGGAAAAAAGAGATTTCTCAGAGCTGTTTCCACTGAGTGTTGATAATCATCGCATTCAAGAAGATTTAGGGCATTTAGTTTAGGTTTAACAAAAGCATTATCTATGGCAAGGAAGTTGAACAGTACTTTGTTTTTTCACAGCTTTTGAGAAATAGGAGCATTAAATTGTGGCCTGGCTTCTCGATGCTTTTGCCATGAATATTATTTAACAACAGAAGCAAATTAGCAACTCAAAGCCACAGCCATAAACTCCGGCAACAGCAATAAATAGCAAACTATAATAATTATTGCCATTTAGCAACTGCTTACTGCTATAGGGAAATCTCTAATGCTTCAAGCAGCATAACATTCAGTTTTTCCCAGTAATCGTAATAGGCAGGCAACTTTAGGCAACTTTGTTTTATAAGTAGGAGTAGGAATAGAAAAGAAAAACGGTACAAGCGAAAGATGAAAGCCCAAAATAAAAACGTCCATTTATAGCAAGCAATACGTTCTTTACTCTGCTTAAACCATCTAAACTGCCCAAAAGTAATAAAATGGCGATCAAAGAACTGCAGAAAAGAAACTAAAGCAAGATCGTCTAATACCGAAGGGCCAACTAATGCAGTTGTTGCGCCCTCTGACGGGTAGCAGCAGCAGTTAGTAACAATTGATCTTGTCATTAGGGGCAATCCCGTGGGATCTACAATGCACGTGAAACAGCCATCGGGGAATAAAAAACGATTCGATTACGGAAGGGAAAATAAGGTTCGGGAGCCGATGAAAGGATAGCAACCCATACAAGGTCACGGGGTTGGAAAAGGATACTGGACATTAGATCTTTCAGGTGTAGAAAACTCCCGAAGAACAGGCCTTTAAGGGCCGATAAACGAATGGCCGGCTGATCTGGAAAAGGGTACAAGATGGCCTTTATAAATTTTAAACCCGATTAAGACAGTATGCACAGTATGTTTCATAAAAAATATTTATTAAACACGCAGCTAATTAATAAATATTACTTTAACACTTTTTCATAAAATAAATTTCAGTCCTAGTTTTGAAGCAAAATCGCATGACCTTTTTCCACAAAAAAAATAATATCTAATACGTATAATAAACGAACGGCCTGATTTTAAATAGATTTTTGTGGCAAAAGTACTTTAACTAGTACTTCAGAACCAAGCATCTAACCGCCATCTACAAATAAGAGATTTTCGGAATGCGTATGAGATACCCATTTCTTGGAATCAAAATATTTTATTCAGGGATTGCATTGCCTTCTTCCTATGAATTTATTATTATTATTGTCAAATTTAACGCTAGCATTTATCTTAGCAGAGATACTATTACTTGCACTCTTTATAACAGAGTTCAAATTTCGTGTTGGTATGTTTTACTGTCTAAACAGCCAGTTCCTTCCTCAGATTCTTTGGTATTTTTCTTGCACGGGTTCTTTGATGGAATTCTTGCGGTATGTGTACTTTAATTAGCAAGTCAGAGCCACATAATCAATACTCATCTACGGATAAAACAGCTTCAGAATACGAATGAGACTTATGTTTATTGAAGTCGGAATACCTATTGCAATTCCTCTTATTACTAGACCTTTTTTCTGCGTCTTCTTTGCTTCATACACTTTGCCGCAATTTATAGTACTGTCAGGAATTTTAAATTTGGTCACTACATTCATATCCTTCTTTTTCAAATCTGGTTTGATTGTTAAAATTATACTACAGTTTTTTAAATCCCTCCTTTTTGTTATTGTAGCTTGAATGTTCTGTTTTGTCTTTCTTCTGAGCTTGCATTTCTGAGTAATTATCGACGTATTTAGTAGATTCCAGCATAACATTAGGCTGAATGGCGACTGAACTAGACAATCTTATTTCTTCCCTGAGAAGTGTAGCTTCCACATCAGAAGTATTTTTGCTCAATTTCCCTGTTACTTTCGTTACTTCCCGCGGTATTCTGATAAGCACGAGATTTAGATTAGCAAATTTGGGAGTTTCCACAGTGCGGAATCTTTCCTTTAAATATTCATGAATGTTCTGCTGATCAATCTTCATCAACGAACATACGCGATACCGATGTTGAACAACTGGTACAAGTACACTCTGGGGTAAATTCGGTATCAAACTGCAGTTAGATAAAGTAATTCTGACATATGGTTTGATTTTCGCTCTCTTATGATAACAAATTCTTAATTTCTTAATGATGCGTATAATGTTTCAATTGGTTGCAGTTTCTTCGAACTCAATTTTCTTAGAGTCTGAACCTTGCAACGACACTAACATCACTAACAGAAAAAAGATCTTTCCGGTTATTGAGATCAAATCTCCATGGCCAATCTCATAACCCTGTTTGCCGAATGTAAAGAATACAATAGCAAAAAGTTTTTAAAAAAGGCTTAAAAATTTAAATATACGGGTACATTGGTGATTGGAAAGTTGAATCACGTTGTACAACGATGATCACCACTTTGCATAATTTATTCGACGATTGAAGTCACTCTAAAAATTTCAATCTTAAATTTCCATTACTTCTTTCCTTAACGCTCTTTAAATATTTACGCAGTTTAGGCCAATTCGAGAGAGAGTTCGGGAAGGGGGGGATTGATGCCCCCCCCCAAAAAAAACTCAGAAATCCGAATCCAAGGGATGGAAGAAGTTAAAAAAAATTAATAAATAAAGGAAATTCAAATCCCGCGAAACCAAAACCGGAGCCTTCTCTTCGGGGAGCGCTTCGGCGCCATCGATCAGTTTTTGGCGGGAAACCCAAGACTGCTTCTGTCGATAATGCCCCGGGAGAGTGTCAGTCGAGGGTGCTATGGCGCCGTCGTACTGAATTTATTATCGGCGTCGCAGGGCGTCAGATTTCTTGGCAGCTATGGCCGTAAAGGATTTGGACTAACCGTTAATTAATAGAAGATGCATCACAGACAACGACCTGCTCCAGTGGCACATGGACGCCCCGGCAATATTTCTTAACTGCCACGGCTAAACGAAATCTGCCAGCCCCAGTGTCGTACATTTACTTTACCCACATCTCACTGCAAAGAATGAAAAAGCCAAGGGAAAGAAATCGAAAGTAATATTTCGCGGTCAAGCAGAACATAGACTAAGTTACGTAAGATTTCTGACACTTCTTTTGGAAGAGGAAATTTAATTACAACTTTCCTGGCTCACAGCCCTTCTTCCAAAGAAGAGGAAAATTTTTTCTGAGGTTAATCGAACTTTACTCTTGCAATAATGATATATTAGATAACCTCTGAAAGCATTAATCTATAACAATAACCGAATACTCATCGAAATTTTTAGGTATCTTGCCTTTCCACTGTATCGAACTTGTCATTAAATCTCGATATGAACGAATGATACATAGACTAAGAGTTTACAAAATTTTCATTCGCATATAGCAATACACATGATAAATATGCATAGATTCTTGTTGTGGCTCCCACGCTGGTATCAGGGACAGATGGGTTATCGGAAATTACGGAAATTTTTAGAAGATCCAGTGAATATAGGTCCGCCTTATCACTTGATACCACGGATGAAACACTTCGATGAAAGTTGTTTTACGTTATAAACTGAACTTTATAATGGTACTGGCTTTATAAAGGTGTCGGGATATCTTTATCATGAGACCATGGTAGGCAACGTGTCATTTGCATAAAGGTACTGGCACCTTTGTAAGCAGGATTCACGAAATAACAAAGCCGCATACAGTTATAGCATTTTTGAGAAAAGTTGCTTTCTCCAAATTATAAATTGAACCTCAGGAAGGTTCAGATCTATTCACTAAAATAAAGCCCTAACGATGGGTGTCCCGACATCTTGATGTTATTGCATTCATAATAGTGTAAGCTGAACAGGATGCCAGTACTCCATATGTCTCGATGAACAGCGGTTAACCTCCTGCACATTTATTTAAATCGGCGACTTGGAATTTTGAGGAAGACTGTTTTCTTCTTGATATAAACTGAAATTCCTTAGAGCGAAAACATCTTAATTGAAGTTGATGATTTTTCACAGACTTTTACATAAGCGTCCCGTAATCTTGATGAAGCTTGCATTATTCACGGGTATAAAATGAACTTCATAAGAGTGCCAAGCCTAGATAAACAAAGGCTAATATGCGAAAGATGCCGGTACCTTTACTCATGTTAGCGACTATTCACTTAGATCTTCACATGGATGTTCCTGAATCTTGACAAAGGCTGCAATCATGGTATAAAGTGAATTTCATTCGCATTAAGACACAAAGGAGCCTTGCACCTTAGTGTCTTAATGCCGGAGCACCTTTGCGAAAAATGGTCGACTTGTACAAAGGTGCTATCACCTTCAAGAAGGGGATCAGAAAACTCTTATCTGGTCTTGGTCATAATGTATTATCGTTTCCCAGCTAAAAAAGTTCGCACAATGTAACAAGCGTCGTAACGGAAGTACCTTTATGACCTAATGAAATAATTTTGCATTAATATTATGATTTTCGGAGCAGAAAATCTAGAATGATCAACATTACTCTTGATAGGAATTGAACACGAGGTTCCCAGTTGTTATCTGGATTCCCAGTTCCAAAAGTATATCGTAGGAGCGGCTTTAAATCCTTGAATAGTAGTGTAAGAATAAAAAAGATAAAAGTGACTGCTGATATCATTGTGCTGTAATTATGCCTACTTCGTATAGCGCCAAGTCTTGTTATAAAGTTAAGAGTTCTACGGTAGTTCCCTTTTATTCAACCAAATTAGATATTTTATTCCGCATAACGGGATTCTACGCAATAGATTTGAACTAAAATTATAAAAACCTGACATATTCATAATACCTCGTGTTTCAAAACTTTAGCGAAAGTAAATCAAGCAGCGACTTAACAATAAAACATGAGATTACTTGAATTAATTCATGACTTACCTGTAAATCCTCGAGGACATCGGCAGGCGAAAGTGTTGACAGGATAAATGGGTCGAAAGAGGAGCGTATTTGAAGATATAAACCCGGAAGCATTGCCGAATTTCAGGACAGATAGACACTCTTCGAAGTTCACGCATGGCTCCCTCACGCATAAGTTGTCATCAAACGGAAGCACCTAGACAAAGTCAAAAATTTAGTCATTTCCAGAGAAAAAAAGAATGGACTGACATATTATCGAGTCGACAATGAAACTGTCCCCAAACAGCGCGATTTAGCACCAATTATGCGTGATGACATAACAACATATTTTATTAAATCTGCGATGTAACATATTTTATTAAATCTGCGATGTTTTCTCGATGTAACATCCATTGATTCTCGATATGCCACCGTTCGTTGTTGTGAACAAAAATTTAAATTAAATTTTACTGTTGTATTTTTTTCCTTGCATTTTGAAAAGAATTATCAAAATCTAAATTCTGATGTCTACAGAACTGCAAGCAGTGGATTATTTTCAAATTTATGGTATCCTACCATTAAAAAAAGGGTATATTAATGGACAAAATAAGGTCAGCTGAATACTGCCAGCAAAACAGTAACAGAGTGGGAAAATTATCTGCGAGAATTTCGTAGTCATAGAGTTATAAACAGAGCTTTCTGTAAATTCGTAGGTACTAATAAAGTAGCAGAAATAGAGGAAAGTCTTTTTACGAAGCACAAAAACGACGTGGATAAGAATGCTGATTTGTTTATTAGGATAAAGAGGCGTCAGTTTATTCAGAATTCCGCAGGAAATTTGGCGGGAACTCAGCCAATTTTCACTGTCACTGGGATAATACATATGCACCAATACTACTACTACTAATAATAATAATCTGCTCTAAATAAAAAATGAATAAATTAAATAATTATGTTAGAATCGTCGAGAGAAAATTTTATGCAGCCGGAAAAAATAAAGAAAGTGACGAATGAAATCCATACATTAATACTGACAATGTGGTATTTTTGATGCATCTCTCAGATTGTGTTAATACGTTATATAGTTTATTTTAATACTATAAAAATATTTCCATACATTTCAGTAGGTAGAAAAGATAATTAAAATACAGTTATGTCACAGGTATTAATCGACTTACATGAAGAAATAATAACAATACCTGGACGTTGGCAAGTCTGGCGAGAATAGCTCGGTTCAAATACACTCTTTCTTGCAGATAGTGTGGAGAATAGTACTCATCCGGGTCTCGTGAATCCGGACGCCTGACAGAAAAACTAACATTCAAAATTTTCGCCTCCACATCAGTATCATCCTGGAAAAGAGGGGAAAAAAAGTCAAGTCATTGCATGAACATTTCTTCAACAAAAGATTTTACTCGGACATTAGACATTAGATCATTTTACGGACATTAGACATTAGATCATTTTACGGACATTAGATTATTTGGCAAGCAGGAGCTGATACAATTGTTCTAAATGGCGCGGTCAACTTGAAAACAAGGTACTTTCCCAACCCCCTTCAAAATTTAACGTCTTCACCAAGATGCATGAACAAAAAAGCTGGCACTTCCCCCCCCACCACGTTGGCAATCTCTTGCCAAGACATAAGGGTGTCCTGACATAAAAGCACAAAAGTTCCAGCACCCTTCTTGAGTTCAGCTTTATGAAGAAAGCAATCCTCAGCAAAGCTGCCGGGACACCTATTTGGTCTTGATTTTAAGTATTTGCATAAAGATGTCAGCATCTTTGTAACATTTTTTTTTTCTAATCATATAGGATGCGGGACATGGAAATTCCTTGCTTTTATGTAATGCAGTGAACAATTAGATCCAATATTTACGAATTTGTTAACGAAGACAGGTTTGAGTTTAATACGATTACCATTAGTTTATCTTTCGATCTTTTTAGTATGGCATCAGATATTTTCCTTCCTTTCAGTTTATCGTTTTTTGCTGTATAAATATTACGCTAATGAACAATGTTTCCCACTTATTGAAGGAGTTAAAGCAACAACAATCAGCGTAATTTTCACAAATTTGCAGGATTAGTTTTCAAGTTTGAAATATGGAACTTTCCTCTTCAGCTGCTTTAACCCCTCTAATAATCGTTGCTCTGAGTATTTTTTAACTCAGAAAATGGTCCCCACTTTTAAATTTTCAATGTCAGCTAACAAAGCAACGCCACAGACAAGAGCTCCTAGGGAATTTTTTCGCATTCCCGTCCGCACTTGGCGCCGAGTACTTTCGATACTAACTCGCAAAAAGATACCGTCAGCTTTATGCAAGTCAGCGACTATTCACTTCACATAAGAACCTTCCCATGGGCATCCTGGCATCTTAATCAAGAGTGTATTTTTCATGATATAAACATATCTTCGTAAGGTTGTCAGATACGCTCGGGAACACCTTGCAAAAGGTGCCAGTACTTTTTGCAGGCAACGCCAGTTAAACAATCCACTTTTGTATACATACTTTGTTTCGAATAACACTTTTTTAAAACAGAAATGTCACTTAATCATCAACATCAGTAATATATACGTTATTATTGCTACTAATGGCTCTTAAATTCTATGAGCGGTCCTTGGCATAAAGGGCTGTGCGCATCTGAAGCTCTAAAAATTTAGCACCCTTGTGTTAAATATTTATCTACATCTTAATGCAACATATTCCGAAAGCAATGCTAAAAGTAGTTCGAAATACTTTCAAAACTTACCTGCACATTAAAGATGAATATGTTCTCTTTGGGACAGGGGACTATGGCAGCTAGACCTTCCAAGAAGTAGTCGAAGAGAGGTGACAGAAAAGCCGTTTGAGTCATGTCGTCCAATCGAACGGTGACGCTGTTGAACAGCATAGCTTCAGACACCAGCCTCACCTTCAGTTGACACTCCGCGTGAACTTCATTGAGACCGTCTGAAAAAGGAGCAAAAATGAATGAGATTGCAAGATAATGAGTGTGTATATTTTCTCTCGCACATATATATATATATATATGTGTGTGTGTGTGTGTGTGCGTATGTATATATGCATAGTAGTGTTTCGGTTCATGAATGGAAAAATTTAGCTCACGAACAAATTATCTTAACAAGAAATATATTGGATGACGGACGGTGAGTCGAGTTACAAACATTCAAGTCAGCATTAAACGATTTTCAAAATTTGAAGCAACCTATGACACGTAACTAATTCTTGAGGACTTAAATTACAACAATTTCAGAGGTAGCAACAAAATGCTATTGTCAAATAAATTTCTCCAGAAGAAGAAGAGAAAAAAGAAAGTAAACCTAGTTTTCTGCTCTATGAAATTTGTGCCAAATGAAGTACGGTGCTCCACTTGCAGATAGGTTTTCACGTAAGATATGTGATAAAACAGTAGCAAGCTACAGTATAAGTATTTTCAATGACAATGCCAAAAATATCTTACTTTAGAAACTTTTAAAATGTAGGCAACAACAAATAATTTTGGGCAAATTTTGAGTGGAACACAGTTCAGTAAGTCTTAAGCAGAGTGGACAAGCGCTTAGAGACAATGAAAAGATAAAGACCCCCTTAAAGATTGAATTTTTTGGCTCTAGTGTAGAATTGGGTGCCCCTTCGATTGGCGACAATTTTTTTTAAAATTTTGGCGATGAAACCTCACTTCTGGTTACCACGATAGTTTTAAACTTGTTTTAGCTTTCCGATTTTATTATCAAGTAAAATAGATTAATGTGTACATGGACATATTTAAGGCAGTGCGCAATGCCTAGTTTGTGCAATTCTAGGATTTTTTTTAAGTAAAAACAGATCGATGTGTACATGGACACAGACCTTGTGCAAGTTTTTGACTTCTTATTTTGGTTTGTGTAGCGGCCATCTTAAATTGTGCCTTTCCGGCGCCGATCTTGGCGTCAAAAAAGAATCGCCAATAAACAAGGGGCACCCAATTGTAAACTTTTACCTTTTTTTTAAGAGGAGTTGAAGGGATTTTTCACGTCTAACATGTTCCTCATCATTTTCTATTCACGGTGTTCACTCTGCTCGTACGTGTATAGTAAAATTAAATTAAGTTTTTGTTTATTTTACCTGTTTATATTGTACATTCTATAACATAAAAAGCGACGCACCAAGAAGGAACTAACCGAATGGGACGAAATTGCATATGTCTATACCTTACTATAGAATATTCAAATGATTAACTTTTGACGGCCAATGAACCGACTACCTGGAGCGACAACGCGGTGCATCTGGATGATGTATAACATAGAGGATCTTCAAAGCTAAGGCATAACTTCTATGCGAATGTGATTCCGCCGACCCATGTAGACTGCACCAATGACTCGCAGACGAGTATGAGCGAATGGTATGAGCAGATTTGAGAGAGGATTTTCATGAGATCATCATTTGAGAGAAGTCAAACAACTGGACTAAAGAAATCAGGGTGGTCAAATTGCAAGATCGCTAAATGCTAACGTTCGACAACGTAAGCAGGAATGGGTTAAACATGGCCCGTAAAGAGCGACAAGAAAGTAGCGGTCAACCAAAATTGATGATAGAACGCCAGAACAGAGAGATCATCTGATCAGCGTTGTACTTTCCGCGCTGTACTATCAGCGTTGTCCTGTGGCGCCTTACCAATAATCTGACGTGTATCCAGGCCACCAGTGACTACACCGACCACCGATAGGCGACTCAGCGAAGGAGGCCAATGCACCGACGATCCCTCACCACTGAACACTGTTAGGCACGTTTGCAGTGGTGCCGAGTGCCTTCGACCTAGGACCTCACAGACTGGAGTAGAATTGTTTTCATTACTGAGTCTCGTCCGATGACCGATAAAAAAGTGCGTGGAGACGTCCAGGACAGCAGTAGGAAACTCAACGGATACCAACAACCAGGAATCATTTCATCTAACAGCCGGACCCCTTTATTTGTTATCCGAGATCCCCTTACGTTGACGAGATTCTACATCCCGTTGTGTTTGCACTTCCATTCACGGACCCCTCGGCATACATTTCAACAAGATAATGCTTAGCCGCAGACGGCATGCCTGACTACTGCTTGTCGTCGTCCTTCTTCAACGCTTTCCTAGCCGGCGCCATCGCCGAAGCTCTCTCCAATGGATCACATTGGACTATGATGAGCAGACGGCACCAACTGTTCCTGAATCATGCCGAGTTAACTTCCCATTTGCAGTGTGTATGGCAAGCCATCTCGCAGGGGGACATCCGCCAAATCTACGAGTCAGTGCCCAGCCAGATAACAGCTTGCATCAAGACCAAAGGTGAGCCAAAACATTATTGATTTTTCCCCTCTTGTAGCTGCATTTCCTGAATAAAACATTCCATTCCTATGATACAGTTTGCGTTCCTTTTTTTAATACACGTACATTACATCTACTGATTTTCCTCTCATTCAGACAAGTGTAATTTTATTCTTTTGTCTTAGATTTAACGATTTCCATTCGTTTTGGGTTACTAACTTGTGCGTAAAGTACAAAGTTTTGCAAAGTTTATGTAAGCAATCACCTGAGATCTTAGAACAATTTATTCTACTTTACATTAATTTCTATGGGGAATATTATTTTGGTTCACGAACAGTTTTCAGGAGCGAATTAAATTCCTAAGTCGGGGTTTTATTCTATATACAATTACCTTTTCAGTTACCTAAGCTGAAGAAACGAAAGTAAATATGTACATGAAAAAGAAAAGTAAAATAATAGAGTTTTAATAAAATAACATGAAAAGCACTTTAGTTTTGCGTGACAGAAAATTCCGTAAACCGCTGTTTGCTCGACTTCATTTAATATCTAGAATCTTGATTACCTTTAGGGAAAAAAAGAATGCTTTCTTCTGTACCGTAGTTTATGCGTTTATATATTTTTATTTATACCACTTTAATTTTTCCTAATCTTTCTCCCTCACGTTCTTAAATAAAAAAAATTCCTGTGACTTTCTTAAAACAGAACATCATAGTAATAAGAACATATCGTCAACTAATAAAAAAGAATGGAGACATTTATACACTGTCTGAAATTCATAAGATCAATTTAACAAGGCGCTTCATTTCTTCTATATCAACTAACAAACGGCCTTAATTCTATACTTACAGAGTGCTCATTAATTCGTCTAGTTATCTCTTTAAACAAGTGAGAATAACTCTAGTTTCTTTTATTACACCGCACGAAAGGTGCAGTGCCCTAACAAGTTACAGAAAAATCCCGAATTTCCACCCCATATTGCTACATGTGTGAAAGATCGCTTGCACACATCGTTTGGTGAGGATCGCGTGCTGAGCCGTCACTTCCATCATGCTTGGCCTCTCAGGTCCCCAGATCTCAATCCGTGTGATTATTGGCTGTGGGAGTTACCTGAAATCGCAAGTCCACAGTGATCGTCTGACCTCATTAGGGATGCTAAAGACAACATTCGAAGGCAATTTCTCACCGTACCTACAGATATACTATGCAGTGTTGTTCACAACATTGTCTCTCGACTACAGGTATTATAGATGAATGATGGCCGACATGTTGAACATTTGTTATAAAGAACATATTCTTTGCTAAAGTCCATAACATTTAAAGCATGTGTGTCAGTTTTTATTTCTATACCTACATTATTTAGTGAATTATTGAATTTTCAAATGCTGATGGAGTTTTTGGCTCAGTCTGTTATTCTGACTACCATACCTTTTAGATGTTTAAAAAAAAAAAAAAAAAAAAAAAAAAAAAAAATCGTTTGCATTGACTTTTAGAAAGAATTCTAAAAATTTCAATTTTACTCCGTATTTCTTAACATCTTTAGTTCTTACTATATAAATTTTAATTATTACTCCGCAGTTCATAATTTTTAATGTTCTTTCCATACAGTTTTTATAATTCTTTTTTTATAATTTTTGCTTAGCTGCCAAACTGGAAAAAAAAAATTCGTGCCAATAGCACCCCTTCCTGTCTCAATTTCACGCCAATACAGCAGCAGTTAATAAAATAATAGTATAATGGACTTATACTGTTATTTTATTAACTGCTGCTGTGATAAAGCTCCCCAGCTGGTATAGTGGTTAGAGACCTGACTCAAGGCTAAGGAAACACCCTGACTGCCGTTGCGATGGAGCCGGCTTCGAATCTCGGAGAAGGTTGGGTTTCCTATCTCTATAGTTTTAACCAAAGAAAACTGTCCGTTCCTTCACAGGAGGCAACAGTTGCCAACTATTAGGTGCTTCCGCAATGAAGTGGCCACCACTTCCGGCCCTTAAAGTGGCGCAAGGCTGATACTATTAAATAAAGCGCCCCGCCATCATAAAAATAAATAATGAGCTCGTTTCAAATTAATTTTGGCCTATTAATATGTAAAAATTTCATGTCTTTAAGACTTTTATTTGTTTATTCCTTTCTTTTCATTTGCATCTTGATTTTTCTTTAAATTTTTTATACTTTTTTCTTATTTTTTAGTTTTTAAGTATTGTTCTATATGACTACTATACTTATTTTTGAAATTCATTGAAATTTGTTGTCTATACGTATGTCGAGGAATTATTTCACATACATAACTGAACTTTTAAAATTTAAATTTGGATTTTATAAACTTGAACGGAAATGTAAAATTGGAATAGGGATTTTGTGCAGATATGCAAAATGGCAAACGCGCTTCTCATGAATTGTTGAGGGTTGTATGGAGAGGTTCCAATTCCCCTTGATAAATCGGTATAATTATATGGAATCAGCAATAATTCTCCAATTTCATTCTTTAGTTTTGCATTTTAAGTAACAATTCCAGTTTTACTGCTTACAGATTCCAATGAATAATTTCCACAATAGTACACATTTGCTTTCTAAATTTCACTTCACATTTCATGGGAAATAATTTTTATTTATATAATCTCTCTCTCTCTCTATATATATATGTATATAGTTGATTTTAATGAATCCAACTAAT